TGTGTGTCGATCCGAACTCGATCTCGAACTCGAACTCGAACTGGTCCACCCCCCTCTCGCTCGATCCACGCAATCTCGCGCATCGAACTCGAACTTGAACTCGAACTCGAACGGGATCAGTTAGAACTACCTGGGGCACGGCCTGCAATACGCTGAGCAACTGGTTTATAGATAAAGTCTCCTTCGTGTGTACCCTAAGTCTGAGGCTACAAAGTCATCGGCGGTGTCTCCAGCTCTTTGGTGAAGGCTGCTGTGATTGGTGCATTGAAGATAGCCCACCTAGAGCGTCAATGTGTTCAGACTTTGTGGCCACAGGTGGCTGTAGGAACGCCACAATGTGACGATGTGTGACATGTTCAGCCTGTCCAGCCTCCAGATCAACGTTTGGTCATAGCTGGCAACTGGTCTTTGAGAGGAGTGCTTGCCACGCTTAGCTGCTAGCCTCGATGTGCAGCCTGTGACAGATATCCTCGAAGTTGGGCAGGACCTTTGTTAAGTTGTCCCAAGATATCCAAAGAGCATCCCACAGTAGCATTGGGGCATTTGACGATTTTTCACTTAACCGTATCACACAAATGCTGCATATGCCAAAAGCAATCTCTTGAACTTACTTCGCATGCATCAGGTAGTTCCCGTGCCATTGTTTCCAAGGCATGGACACTTGTTTCAGGAGGATGGTGTATTCTCCCGTCCAATGTATGCTGGCAATGCCATTGCCACTGTCCAAGCCCCATTTGCCAAGCCTCAAGTCTGTGAGCGTGGCCTTTGTTTGAGCATGATGGATAAAGATAGGGGCCCGTACTGGGTGGATAAATTCCAGGGCGTCAGACCCAAGACATTATTTGGGTGCGAGCCTGTGAGCTACCTAACAAGGGGGTCTATCAATCCCTTAAAATTATCCACCCAAGTAAGGCAAGGAGTGGATCATTTTTTGGGGGGGGGCGATTGGAGGGTCAGCGCATTGGACATTATCCAGTAGTCATGTTTTGCATTTCCTGGATTTTATCCAACCAGTAGTCGGAGCCGTCCAAGAGTGCATTTTGTTGTCCTCGTCGGCGAAAAGCAGAGAAAAGTGAAGAGAAGACAAAGCAAATTACATTGTGCAAACTTCTTGGCCTTGTTGGACATGAGCAAGACAGAGAAGACATACTGGACGGTTGAGGTAAAAAGCAGCGATACTGTGAGACTTTTGACATTCCGGCAAACCGCATTTGAGGCCTTGGCCGTGTGATGTTTCTCGATTTGTTCAAAAGGATGTTTGGTACATACCAGTACCAAACATCAAACATCAGATTTCTCAGGACATTTTGCAAATCATTCCCTTGGAAAGGCTGCTGCTGAATCCTCAAGCGCAGCACCAACAGAGACGTTGGGTGCAGCAACCTATGCTGGAGCAGGTTGCGACAAACTTGTCTCAATGTTTTCGGGGATGCAGATTCCTTCCTGGCATCCACCTTGTCGTCCAAAGCTGGAGGCATTCAGTGGTTGAAGGACTCTGAGGCTACCAGCGACAAGCCGCAGCTGAGTAGCGTTACTTGGATATTATTACATTGCTGCTTTGGTCATGCAGGTGGTATTGTGCAATTGAATGTCAAGTGAACTTCAACCAACCCCTCGTTTGGTGGCTCATACATTTATGATGTTCAGTATATTTGGGCCAGAAGTTCAGATTTGCATCAAAGGCCAGCCGCGTGGTTGCAGGAGGGCGTGGTCTCAAGAATGGTGAAAACTTTGAGAAGGTTGGACTTTGAAAACGGAAGGGAGCAGCCTGGAAGTTAGACACCATGCTATATGGGGTGTTGTAACTCTGACGCCTCAACACTGGCTTTGAATCTAAACTTTCTTTGAGTGCACTGCATTTTTTCAAATTTTTGAACAGGCATGAATAGACTTTGTACAGCGCTTGAACGGTATATCATATCCGTTGCAGGTCTTGGAGCCGCTTTGTGACAAGCTGAAGGCTGCACTGGGAGCTTCACGGGCAGCGGTGGACGCTGGCTTTGTCCCCAATGAGCTGCAGGCAGTCGGCTGTGGTAGCTAAAGCATTCCAAAACAGATTGGTCGTTTGTGGATAAACATTCTTGGGATCAAGAAATCTTATTTATCCATTTCCTGATGCAAGCGTGGATTCAACGTTTTTGTTGCTTTTAACTGTCAGGTGGGCCAGACAGGAAAGGTTGTGGCCCCGCAGCTTTACATTGCCGTGGGCATCAGCGGTGCCATCCAGCACCTAGCAGGAATGAAGGACAGAATTACAGTGACAGTTGAGTCGCTCAAATTGCATGACCGCATGTGCATCGGTATTGCTGTTTGAGGTTTACGAAGCCATGCTCAGACACTTTAACAACCTCCAAGGTGTTTGCCTTTGCACCTGCTTTGATGCGGCCTGATTGGCATTTATACAATATAATATGTATGATACACATTTGTTTGTTGGCATTTCTCCACAGAAATTGATGTTGTTCCTTCTCTCAGTTGAGGACCCCAGGCAGATTTACTAGTGAATGAAATGTTTGACTTGTATAGAATGGTAGCAAGCCAATCACATTGCTTTTGGGCTAAGCACAGTGGAAGCATTTTCCAGTTGGACTAAAACAACTGCGTTCCGTGGACCATCATTTTTGCAGGCCCGAGAACAAGGGTAGGAAATTTGGGAGAGGCCTGATTTGAAAGAAGCAGAACAAGCCATCAGAGAACAAAAGCACAGACAAGTTCGACAAAATACACAGAAGATCGATTTGAAGAGCTGAACATTTGGAATCATTTGGAGGCAGATGCTTGCTGTAAACGAGGGCTGAGATTTGCACTCCGTGTTTCTTTGTGCCTCTAGACTCTAGACCTAGACCTGCACCCATACCCTCTAAGCCGCAACTCGATGAGAAGGCTGGTGCAGGTCTAGGATGGTCTAGGTAGGGGAGCAGGATGCTATTGTACAAATGTGTGCAACATGTAGGGACAACGGGGGGGGTGCCCCGAAAGCAAACCTTCCCGACGACCCAACATGGTTTTCGGGGGTGTGGGGATGGGGGGGGCTGGGCACAGTTTCGCTCGTGTTACTACTCGCATAAATCGACATTCGCGTTGCGATTTCGGCTTCGTGACGTTTCGTTCGTGGTTCTACTGCGTAAATCGACATGTGCGTCTTCGTGACTCGACACTCGTGTTACACTTTCGGCTTAGAGGACATGGCAGGCTCCACGTTTGAGGATTGTTTGTGTTTGTCGTTTGTTCTTTTGTTGCGTTTGTCCAGTTTGAGGTGCCCTTCCCCCAATCATCATCTGAGGGATTTTTTTGCAGCTGACCCTTTTCTTTGGATGCCCACATTGATGTGTGCTCCCGAATGGCAAAAAGCAGGAGAGTCTGGACAGCAGACCTGGTCTTATTTGAGTGTTTTGAAAGTCCACTCAAGTCATCGATAAGTTGAGTGACCCGAAAGGCAAAAAAAACTGTTAAACCCATGCTTTTCTAACGCTGTGCATGTTGCTGTCGGGGCAACCCCCCCCGTTTACCCAAATGTATATAGTACAGTAACTGCAATCTTGCATCCAGCAGCACTCTGCATGATGCCCTTCTTCTGCAATACTCGGAGCCAAGTTGGGCATGATTTTGATTCTAGATTTGGGGGTGTTGAAGGTTGTCCGGGTACCTCCCATATTGATACTGGTCTACTTCCACAGGCAGATCCTTTAGGTCAGAAGTCTGCTCGCTGGTGATCTTTGCCTAAACCTAAGACTTGCACGGGCTTTGCCGTTGACATGCACGCCCTTGACAGTTCATCGAAGTTTTTGATGTTGAACACTATGTTGAGTGGTTGACATGTTCGTTTAAGGAAGTCCATAGGCACAAGCGGTGCTGACACTTGGCTCTGAAGGATTCCAAGACCATTGTTGCCATCAACAAGGATGCGGATGCACCGATTTTTCAGGTCGGCTTGCACGATGTCAAAGGATTTGACTCTGCGAACTGTGTTCCAACTGTTCCAACTGAATTGGCCATTTCAAGGTGCAAATTTCCTGAATGACAAGCAGTGCTCTCTTACATTCTTCCAAACTGTAGGAACAATGTCGTGGGACAACATCAGGACAACTACAGGTTTGCGTAACTTTGTATGCAGAGATTTGGCGGCAAAAAAACGGGAAGGAAAGAAGAAAGGACTTTCAGAGTCTAAGGTCTAGCGAAAAGGCGAAGGAGATGCAAAGAAATACATGTTATGAATATGGCAAATAAAAGGAAACTTGTGAACTATATACATAATATATCATAATGTTATATTAATTTTAATAGGGGGCAACCTCTCCAAAAAAACAATGTATATATGTTTTGTAACAGAGGTTTTTTCCGGGGGGCGCAATGAAACTCTCCTCTGGATTTTGTTTCATTTGCTTTCAATTGCTCTCATGCTGTTTTCTGCTTTCATTTTCTTTCATTCTGCTTTCATTTGCTTCAATGTTGTTTTCATGTGCTTTCATTATGTTGTGTTCATTCTGCTTTCATGTTGTGTTCATTGTGCTTTCGTTTTGCTTTCATTCTGCTTTCATGTTGCATTAATTGTGCTTTCGTTTTGCTTTCATTCCGCATTCGTTTTCATTTGTTTTCTTTTGCTGTCATTCTGCTTTCACTTGCTTTCATTCTGCTTTCACGTGCGTTCATTCTGCTTTCATTCTGCGTTCACTTGCTTTCATTCTGCTTTCATTTGCTTTCATTCTGCCTTCATTTGCTTTCATTCTGCTTTGATTAGCCAGGAGCCACAATAGGAAGAGGGTCTATAATTGTGGAACTCCTTGTATTCTGGACACTTGGCACTTGTAAGGGGCACCCTTTCGCAAGCTTGTTTAAGCGAAGCTTCTCATAGGCATTTTTCTTGAAAACCTATTGTTTTGGAAGTTGGAAGACTTTGGATGTTGCTTCACTTTGCTTTCAATTGCTTTCATTCTGCTTTCGTGAGTTTTTATTCCTGAGTTTGTGTGAGTTTTTTTTGCATGTTGGAGCTGAATTTTTGAATCGGCAGTATACAAGACGTGTTGCAAGACCTGCAAATTTCCAACCACTGACTAGTTGTCTCACCGCAGTGCCTTACCGATGCCCCAACCGATGCCGACCGATGCCCAAATTGAACATGTTTGTGTCCATGGAAGAGCAACTCCTCCACAACTTGTATAACCACTAATTACACTTTGAACATGCTTGTGCCCATGGAAGAGCAGCCTCCCCACAACTTGTACAACCACTCCCGCAGTTGATTCGTGCCCTCACTGTCTCGTGCCAAACTATGACAAGCTTGATGCCATCAACAAAGCTTGAAATGCAGCCAACCCTACAAACCTGCACAACCGATGGGGGCCGACCCATTCTAGGCAATGTCTTGAGGCTGGATAAGACATTTTTCGTCCTGCACACATATTTTCTGGATGTTTGGAATTGTACGATTAAGGCTGCCCTCCTTAATACGAACTTGACATTAGTGCACAACACTTGGCTCGGATGGATCCCATGTCCTGACCCCACTCAACAATGGCAATCCCTGCATCTCCAAAGACGTTGAAAGCTGTAATGCCATTCCGTTTCTTTCTTCATGGTCGGAGCTGCACAAAGTGTCCGAAGCGAATGGATGTCAGGGCTTTTCGAAGAAGAAAGCATAAAATTCATGGTCGGAGGAGCGTGCAGCAGATATGCATGTAATTATGGTTTCTGAAGTCAAGGGCTGATTTTTTGTTTAGATCCATTATGTAGATAATGATGCTTGAATAGATTTAGATGGGCGTATTAAGTTGTGCGACTTACTGTAACCTTTACGGTGCAGGTTGCAGACTATGGTCTTGTTGCCGACCTCTTTGAGAGCGTTCCCGAGCTGACCAGCAAGGTTTGATTGGCAACTGCAGGCAATGTTGGTTGCTTTCACGTTTCACAATACTTTAGGTATCTTAAAGCTCCATTCCATTAATTCATGAACTCAGCAGTTGCGTCTCGACTGAACGAGGCATTCTCAGCCCATGTCGTTGTGCTGGGCGCTGCAGAGAGTACAGCAATGAAAAGAGTTGCAGATAGAGCGTGTGCAGAGCTGTTATAAAATTTCACATGACTCCGCGCTGCGAGTTCGCATCCCGTTGGATTCGTTTGTCGTTCTCTTTGCTCGATTAGCCAAGGCTTCGTGGCGCCTGCCCGGGCATAGTGGCCTGGCTACTCCTCTACTGGGCCTTTGTACTGCCCAGTGGCCTGAGCTGCTTCGCAGCCGCTGTGACTGCAGGCTGTGAGTGGAGTCCAGGAAAAGGTGCAATGTCACCTAATGGAGAGAAAAAATATGTATGAGATTATCATCAAATTATCCACATGTCGTACAGATCTGGATCAAAGCCATCATCTCAAGCCTACAAACTGGTATGTCACTGTGTTGTTATTTTATGTTGCGTTGTTTTGATGCTTCAGAAGGCCAGACTTGCGTTTGTTTCAGATTTCATTTGGCCCCAAGCGATTTGCGCTTGCCGCAAGCATCAGAAAAAAGGCTTCACTTTTGGTGTGTAATCTACTATCATGAATGCACTCGAATCATGACTCCAGGAAGGCTAGGCCTGCAAGTCTGCAGTGTCAATTTAGGAACCTGCATCCAGGTGTGTATGTGTGCCTTTGTCGGGCACGGACTGAGCACATGATAGATGCAATGACTAGAGCGACCTTGCACATCAAGAGCACCAGAGTCAGAGACAGGAACTAGGAGATGCAGGATGGGAGGCACATTTTGCTCGAGGATTTGGACCACTGCTGATGCACAGAAGGAACAGAACGATGAACTTAATGCATAGAGGGGACCATGTGTGCGCGAATTTATTTCAACTTATGTACTGCTAAATCATGACACAATGCGCACAGTTGTCAACTTTTGCCAAGGTACTTCAGGTACTTACCATGCATCAAAACTCCCAGCACCTAATACTGTACTTGTTGCATAGTCTTGCCTCAAGCAGAGTTGGTTGGTGAGCTTGTGTGCCAAACAACTTTCCTATGGGCTTGTAGGGCCGTTTGCCGCTTGCTCATGGATGATGAAAAAGTCGCTGGAAGCCTCAGCATGGAAAGCTTTGGACATAGACTACTCGGCGTTTCCCCGCTTTGAGTGCAGTATTGGCTACGGATCGGGGGTCTTTCTGCAGGACAGAAAAAATCTCTTCGCCCGCTCTGCGATCGTGGGTTTGCAACACCATGTTTTGCGATTTCGATTGTGTCGTTTCAGCGGTGCAGCAACACTGCCCTCGTTATTGAAGCAATGCTGAGAGACTATTGGAAACTTGCATTTGAGCTCGATGAAAACTATCTAGAACTTCTATGGAAACTGGAAACAGTGAGAGGGGCCAGCAGCTCACCCTGACGTGAATCGTTTGTTTCGAGATTCCTCATTCACAGTCGGAAAATTGAATTAAAATTGAATTGACAATCAATTCTGAACTTACTACACGCTTTGGCATCATTTAAACATATAATATATGTAATCACGTCGACAGGGCGACAGGGCCCACCACGAAGGACGCAACACAGATCTAAACTGAGGGCAGGTTGCCCGGGGATACCTAGGTTAGATCCAGCAGGCCAGGTATGTCAGGTCCAATTGAGCAGCGGTTTTTTTTGTCTATGAAAGAGTTTATACAAAAGTGGAACTACTCTTGATGCTGCGTAGGCTATTCTGCTTGGGGGCGTAAGCTTGCGTAGGCAACCGCGTAGGAAAACATAGTAGTGCCTCGCGTAGGCAGATTTGCGTGGTTGTAACTTGGAGTAAATCTAATAACCTGTAACACGGAAAGAACAATGGACCGATATTCATCCTTTAGTTGACTTGCTTGGTGGCTGGTACTTGAAGTTTGAGGAAGTAGATCTTGAGGGATATGAGTGACCTTGTTGCTGTATGCTTCTTGGGGATCACAGTGCGAACACTGTGTGAGGGATTTCGACAACAGGGGTTTGCTGAGGAAAATGTATTGCGCGCCCATCGAGATGGGCTGTGACATGGTTTCCTTTGAGTTTGTCAACTTGTTGAACAAACCGGTACAGTCAGCTTTCTGAGCCTAATTTCCATGGTCATTCACATATGTGCATGTGTGTACAGTACCGGTACAACTGTAGAAACGTGTGACAAGATGCAGGCAAACCCCGCGTATGCTTCGCGTATGCCTTGCGTAGATGCTCGCGTAGGCTGCGGCTTGGTTTGGAAGGGGTTGGCCCACTTCTGTTTTTCATGCTTGTAACCTATAATGTGAGCCGTTTAAGCAAGCATGTAGTCGTCATTTTTCGTGTCTGTCTCTATGAGCCGCGCCGTGAAAACATGGGACGACTTCACGCCCAAGTACCGCAAAGAACTCGCTCTGTCGCTTGCAGACACCATCATGGAGAAAACCGCTTCCCTTGATGAGGCTGCTTCTTTCCTCCAGCTTGTTGGGCAGGTCATTCAAAAGAAGACGGGGCAGACACTACGCAACCTTGTCTTTAACCAGGTCGAATTCACCACCAGTCAGGCTGAGACCCTACTTCGCTCTCTAGGTCAGCTCCGGGAGAAGTACGCTACCCACAATAGCCAACTACATCTCCCCAAGGTCAGCGTTCAAGAAATGGATTGCGCCACAGTGCGCGCCTGCATAGCTTTGAAGACCTTGAATAGCTTTGGGTGCGACATAGGGAGAAAGGAGTACAAGCACGCAACCTCAACTGAACCAAAGTCTGCTGCTCGGGAAAACCGTGTAGGCCGAACAACATTTCCTTGGCGAACATCCCTCAACCTCCTGGGCCAGAGCCTGGCGGCGATGTCAATGAACTCGTACGACGACATATGGCCCAGAAGCACATTCAGCCTCATCAGCCTGTTGCCCCTGGGGACATTGAGACTTTGCTGAAAAAAGCCGAGGACAGACTGACCAAGGCTGCTTCTAAGAAGCGCCGACAGGCACAGGCTTTGCTGTCTTCATCTTCAAGCTCGTCTTCTTCTGCATCCTCATCTTCTTCATCTGCATCTGCTCCGTGAAGGCAGCGTGCAAAAAAGGCCTCGCGTAGTCGACCGCGTAGGTACCTCATCAAAACCCTCGATCTGGAACATGCTCGCGTAGGCTACCTCACATACTTTTGATATGTCGCGTAGGCGCTCGCGTATACATGCTGCGGAGTGTATACTTCCAAGCACCCCAAAAAAACACCACTCAATTGTAGTACCGCAATTATGTAGTTCTTCTATGCTATTCTAATATATTCTAATCTTGAGTCCTGACCGGGCTTTACCCCGACGAATAATATGTTTACACCCCCTAAGTGTCCTTGACTTTCCTTTTCCTTCTGATTTGTCGAAGTCAAACAGAAATGCACAAAGAACGACGGAACAGTGATGGGGAAACGGAGGTCGCTGGAGCCCACTAGAGCCCACACGAGCACATCATAGTTTTCCAAAGAGTGTCAACAAATACTCAGCTTCCTTGGGCAAAAAAAATACTTGTGCAGAGCACTAAAAGTAGACTTACGCAGCGGAATATGATGGGTGACACACTACAAGTAGCAGAGATTTGGCCTGGCTTGGTGTTGCTCAAATATTGTTTCACGCTGTCTGTTGCCGGCAGGAGGGCTACGATGATAAGGCTCGTCCCATGGTGGACTTGTTGCTGGTGGTTGATGACGAGGTTGGGGCTGTGGATGTAAGCAAGTGTGTGTGTGTGAGTATGTATCATATATTATATATTCAAGAATCAACAAGGTACTTGCAGAAATGGCTTGAAAGCGTGTGCTGAGGACTTGGAAGACTGGCATGAAAGAAACCTCCAAGCACAGCCAGAGCACTACTCTGGTTTGGCCCGGCTACAAAGCTCAGCTGCAGCTTTGAAGTGTTGTGTCAAACTGCCAGTCTTCAAGTCCTATCAGCATTCCGTACATGGTTTTTTGTAAGTTGAGCAACTCCAACCTGAGATACCTGGGCTCGGCTCCAATTTGCCGACTGCAACGATGGGGTCCTGGCGTGTTGTACTTGCCAGAGGCGTGAAATGTATGGGGTGAGCAGACAATGCAAAACACTGTGCATAGTGCCACTGTTGGTTTTGAAGCTAGGTGCAGCTAATGACAGTTGAAGGAAGTGCTGCTCAGTCACAACTGGCGTATTCTTCCGAGAGCTTTGAGCCAGTGTTTGTTTATGGCTTTCATATAATCATATAACTCAATGGAGGAGGTTTTTGCTTGTTGGTGGTACTTGCCTGGAAATCCAGGGCCTCTATGTTTGCTTCAAACAGATACAAAGACAAAACTGAAGATAAAGAGACAGAACAGAAAACAACGGAAAATGGTTGCTTGCAGAGGCCTAACAACATGCGATCAGTTTAGGACATGTCAGCTCAGGTGCTCAATGCAAAGTACGGTGTCATCACATTTCGAGATTTGCTATTTGATTTGGAACATTGGTCTTCCTTGTACATCGCTGGCAGGACTTTGTGTGCTTCCCTTATATAATTAGATTATGGTAGAACCGAGTGAAATTAGACACCTTGCTCATTGATTCTGTTTTAGACGACACTGTTTCATGACCTTAAGATGCAGATCCAGGCAGCTTGTTGCAGGATGCAGAAGCCCTTCGTGCACACATGGCATTATGATGGTTTGGATGACGAAGACATTTTTGATGCTGCTGTAGCAGCTTGGCTGAGGCTCAACACATTTATTGGGCAAGTTGCTCCTACCACAGCTGTATTATTATGCTGCATATAATCAAATGTATGATTTCAATTTGTATATTTCATTATATTTCCATCATTAAGATCTACCTGGCTTAGCTTATATTCGGACCCTGACCCTTCCTGCCAATTTATCATATTTTTTGGTAATTTTAATATGTTACTCAAGAAAACACAGCTTTTGTCTAAGTTGGCAAAGACTAGGCCAAATGGCAAATCGTGCTGGACATGTTTTGCATGCCAGAAGGACCAACCAGAGCATGTAGGGTCGCAAGTAAGGAGGTTGTTGATGTAGACAGTGATGGCCTTCATGACTGACATATGATGACAATATGAGGCCTTGATTGCTCTATCTAGAATTCGCAAGCTGAGGGTGGATGGCCCTGGAACTAGTCTTTTGTTTGGTGTGCGACTAGACAAAGGTTACCCGTTCTTTAGACGTTCCCAGCTCCGGTCGTTGCTGGAATGCAAGGTGCAAAATCGGCGGTCGGCGTTAGCTGCTGCGCTGCTGAGTGTGGCAAGAGATCACTTGGACGTACGCTCGTTGCTGGCTTCAGCAGGGCCGCCAAGAGCTCGCTGACATGAATGTAATGACCAGTTGGATCTATTGCCAAACAGCTCCAAAAGATGCCGTGTCTTGCTACTGATCGACTTTGAAACTGATGGCCAGCCCTGCCAAGGTTGTGGGGCTGTCGTACAGCGGTGACATCCGCGTGGGGTTGGCAGAGAACCCACACAAGGCATCCTATGAACAAGTTTGCTAGCTGTTAGTTGCTTAAGCTGATTATAAGTATCACTCCTACAGCAACGTTGCAAAGTCTCACAAGCATTACATTCCACTGACGTTGACAAGGGCCAGATAAAATTGGGATGTAATGCTCAAGTTGAGCTGCCATGTCTCCAACTCCAAGCCTTAGTGACAAGCAGGCTCGAGTTGATTCATTGGGCCCGCAGGTCTCCAACATTGTGAATGCCCAGATGCTTGTTTGCATATCCATTTTTGTTCGAAGCATCTCCGAACTGAGCAACTCAGGGCATTCAACTCTATAGATTTGTCCCATGTCATTCAAACAAGAGTCTTTGAGTCTTGCATTGGCAGCCCAACCTTGGAAGATGCAAGGCAAGATCTTCTGTGGGCCATTTATCGGCCACTGGCTGCAGAGCTTGAGGTTGATGTTTCAGAGGCCTGCTCCGCCATGCTTCAACTGCCTTGCCACTTCTGTGAACATGTATGTTCACACGATGCAAAAGCAAATGATGGTCATGGTGAGACCATTTGGTGAGGCCACTCTCGAAGATGGGTTGCAAGGGGTCGTCCGCTTTGACGCGTCACCTGCCGGACATCGTCGCCTTTTCTCTGCTTTGCCAGAAGCAGTGAGGCAGAAGGCATTACAGGTGGGAGCCCAGTGGGAGCTTGAACCAAACTGTGCTATGATTCCACGCCAGTAGAGGCTAAGCGGATCTAAGGGGTCTTTCGAGTTAACTCTTCGACTCGCTCTTCCAGGCTGGATCTCAAGAGCCTGGCTTGCCGCTACGCCGTACCCTTCAAGCAACGGTGCGCCAAGCTTCTATGCAGCAGGCCGTGAAAGGTCGGATGATTGCATAAATTGCATATTGCGCAAGCATGCTTTCACTAATGGCTCAATTTCAAGACGGAGCCTTTAGCGTCACGGAACCACTAGGTGTGCTAAGTTCTGGTGTGACCAGAAGTTTGCGCTATGTGCCGAGCTCAGGCAATTGTATAGCTAGGGCTGAAACAAATGCAGAAGCCTCAAGTAAAATGATGACCGTCAACATTTCACAACATGATTAGTACAAAGTGCAAGTTTGCACATTGTCAAATCATGCCAAGTCAAGATATTGAGAGTCGTGTAGTCTTGTGGCCACAGAGAGCTTGCGGAACTTGTTTGTTCTTTTTGGCTGAGGTGTTGCAAAAGGTAGCGAAGCGTTTTCGGTAGGCTTGGCCATTCCCGCCGCAACAAAATGAGGAAATGGTGCTTGCGTGCTTTGTTTTCCTTTGTACTCTACTCATTTTGCGAGACATGCGAGCTTTTGTCCCTTCTTTAGGGCAACCCTTGTTTGCATGTTCAAGTGGGTGAATGTGGATGAATGGTACATTTTGGCTCAATGCTTCATGTTGCAAAGAGAAAGTGAGGCCAAGGGGACGGAAGCAAGGGCTTGCATGCGATGGCCTCCAACCTCGAAGCGATGGCCTCCAACCTAATAGCGATGGCCTCCAACCAATTCAGACGATTAAAAGTCCAACAAAGACTATTTGTGCTGAGCTCAATGACAGCTACCAACGCATTTTTCCGCCAGCGAGTACGCTTGTTCACTTGCTTTACCTAAAAGTGCCCTCTTTCACACAGTACCAATCACACAGCAAGAGAACATGACTTGTATGCCGAACCTAGCTCACACCTCTTTTTGTATGTTTGAGCAATTCCACTTTCAACACAACATAATTACTTTGTCAGGTTGGTCATTTGTAATTTGTTTTTTGTTGTGTTTATATATCTGTCGCTGTTTGAAAGCTCCTATCACATTCTACCTCATGGTGTTCTTCTGTCCAAAGGGCAAGCGCTGGAATTTGCCGTAGGTGCCTTTTGGCACCAGCGCTCCATGGAAGCATCGCCTCACAGAGGCGCGAAGCCGAGATTTGTGCACAAAGAAAACAACAGAAGTCCTGAAATGCATGGAAAACAGGAAGGTATATTGTGCAATGTATGGTCATGTTTCAAGGCAATTCTCTATGAATTGCTTAGATTTGCGCAGGACGATGCTCCAACTCCAAGTGCCCTCGAGGTGACGCAGAGGCAGGCGATGAGACTGAAGAGGTTTTTGAAGGGTGTTGAAACGTGTCAAAGTTGTCTTTTTTCCCCGATCCCTGAGAATCTCAGAACCGAAGCAATGCGGCGCTTTTGCTGCGCGCTCGCAGGTGCAGCTGGCATGTCGGTGTGGAGAAAATTTTTGCACTGAGGCGTCCGAAGCTTGGGAGCAAGGCGGACAACAAGAAGCGCAAAGAATAAACAGAATTAAACATATGTGAAAAACATCTTAGAGCTGACGATATATTTCGATGGATGACATGTATGAAGGCTTGAGGTCAGAACGCATTCTGAAACGTCTATTCAGTATATTATATAACTATATATCTGGTATTCTTGCCCAACTGCTCTTGAGAAACTAGTCTTCAGAAACTATTCTGCGATCTTCAAAATTATGGGGTGGGTGGGTTGAGTGGGTTGGCTCATTGACGTGCCTTGTGACGGCTACGATACATGCCTGGCATTCTTCAGAAACTGTTTTGCAAACTTCAGAATTGAACTACAACAATTCCACAGTCCATCCAGATTACATGAATCGAGCACAGTCTGGGGGTGGGTTGGGGTGGGGTATGTGGGTTGGGTAGCCTTATTGACAAAACCATCTAGTTACCCAAGATCACCTTTTAGTTGCCGAATAGAACGTTGAGCTGAGGTGCTGGATTCAATTTTGGCACGCTGGCCATCAGGTCATTGGGCACGTTCTTCAGGCTTTAGGCTTGAAGAAACAGAAGCCATGTGCGCACAACAATGCGACAATAATACATTCGGTTGTGTTTTTGTACCGAATTGTACCACCGTGCTAATTTGTGTCACCTTGTGTCACCTTGCCAGCATAGCTGCCCCTACGCTGCGGACATTGTTTCGGATGCATCGGAGCATTGCTCTCAACGCAGAGGCTTGTGTTGCGTCGAGTCATGCCGCAATATCGACCCCAAACCAGCGCTGAGAGTAGCACATAAGAATTGTGAACTACTCTCAAAGTAAAAGTAAAAGTCATCAACCTGTTTACCCTTGGAAGAGAAGCTGCCCTTTTCCATTTTGTGGTAAATCAGCAAATGGCTGCTGAACGAGATAAAGCCCGCCGAAAGTTGAAATGCCAGAGAATTGCTGCTCGTTTAATATCCTGTACACATGCTGTGTTGACGTGTGGCAGGGCGGCATTGCTGCAAGTTCTCAGCTCTGTTGCCTTGTTTATCAGATGGTTCGATCCTTCCAAATCCTTTTGAGGGGCTAAACATTTGATGTTATGTGACTGTATGTTATGGAGGACCATAGCATAATGGGCCTTCTACACACAAGTGCGTCTCAGTCAGAGTATGTTTGAGCTTGGTGGATTTTGTCTCCGGACACTTTGCATGTTGTAGGTGCGGCCCTGTTAGCCAGCATGGCCTTGACCAGGAGGAACACTCCATGTTCATATTGCCGTGCAGCATTGCTTTGAGTTGAGAGCATGCGTGGTTGGTAGGAAGGCGGAGAGTTTCGAAGGAGCGGAGGCGGATTCCTTAAACTGGTGTGATCCCTTGGCAGCCTTTTTCGTGGCGTATTTCAAACGAACAAGATAAAACAGGGGGATAAGCTACATAAAGCGAAGACCAGGTCAAGCATCACCCGCCGATGTCAATGATGCCACTGCTGGAAGACAGGGTTTGTTTAGAGCGCTTGTAGGTAGAGCAGCTACGAAATTTGGAGAGAAGTCGGAGCAGCCGATTTCGCCGAGCATTTAGTCAAAGCGGCGGCCCTTGAAATCTCAGGACTCATTGACGAAAACCTGTGGTTGTTTTCTCCAGATTCAAATCGTAAGCTCCTTACTAGATCTTACAGTCAACCTAGGCAGCAAAGCATCATCTTGGGTCTCATTGGCTGAAGCAGAGTCCCTGCCAGATCCAGAGGCATGCGATGCGAGACACCTTGACAATTCCATGCCTGTTTGCCGCTAAACATGCACGTCGTATGTTTGCAGGGCATAAGTCCATGCAGCTGCACTGCCGATGACTTCGACGTTTTGGCATAGGCCTTAAAGAAGAGAATCCAATGGAAGCTGTTTTGGAGCCAAAATTGTGCTTGCTGAACTGAAATTGAATTGCATTGAATTGCTGCGTGATATCAATGATATCTATCCATTGCATTCTATAGCTAGGTTGGAAAATCTGGCTGCTTTCAGGACAAGCTTGGCGCGGGCTCCTGTGGGAGTGTCTCCAAGGTGTCCCACAAGTTCACTGGCGAGGCGACTGGTCAATGGAGCTTCGTAGGCAGCAGAAAACCATAAGACCATTGACTTGAAAGCCTTTTAAGTTCAGGATCTTTTTTCCCCACCTGTCAGGTGAGGGATGTTGGGTTTTTACAGGTAGCCTTCTTCTTCTCCTCCGCCCCGGACCTCAACCGCAAGCGCCAGATCGCAGTGGGCGTGGGCACCATACCGGACCTCAGCCGCAGGTGCCAGATCGCAGTGGGCCTTGCCGGACCTCAACCGCAAGTGCCATATCGCAGTGGACGCTACGGTACCTCAACCGGAAGCGGAAGCGCCAGATCGCAGCGGGCAGTAGATGGCAGTGGGCAGTCTCGAACCTCAATACACAACACACAACCAACAACATACAACCGCCACAGGCACACAGCCAACCAAGCACAACCACAAACACACAACCCCAAACGCAACGCACACAGTCACAAACACGCAGCCGCAAACACACACCGGCAATCATGAACACACAACCACAATCGCAACACACAACAACAAACACATTCCACGAAAGCAACAACAACCACAATCCACAAAAGCAACCACAAAAGCACAAAAAACAAAACCACAAACACACAATCAACAAACACACAGCCACACACACAATCACACACACACAGCCACAAGCACAGAATCACAAACACACAACCACAAACACAACCACAAACACCCAATCACAAACACACAACTACAAGCACGCAACCACAAACACAACCACAAACACACAATCCACACACGCAATCACAACCACACACAACCACACACACAATCACAAGCACACAGTCACAAACACACAGCCACAAGCACAGAATCACAAACACAACCACACAAACACAACCGCACAATCACAATCACAAACACAAGCCACAAACACACAATCCACAAACACAACCACAATAATTAAATATTCTGTGTACGTGCTATTTTGCGTGGCATGTGGTCACAGGGTACAGTAGCGCTTGTGGATGTCAACTGGAGACCCTGGCGACACCCTAACATTATGAAATCAATCCCAAACCCGACAAGCAAAATCGAAAACCACAAAACCCACAACCATGGCAACATGCTCCTCGCATCCCCCATGATATTCGGACTAGAAAATGGGAGGGGCTGACGTCTGTAGAAAACGGGCATTCTTTAGTCTCAAGGAGGTAAACTCACCGGGAAGGGGTCAGGTAATGCATTTTCTAGTGACCTGTAGGTCACTAGCAAATGAGAAGCACAGGTCTCATAGGCATGCTGGCAGGGTCATTTTCTAGACATCACCTT